CACCTAAATATCGATTTTTGTGTGTCACGTGATATGTTGAATGCAGTATTGGTTCAAATTAAATGTTTGAGATGTCCAAAAACAAAGTCTATAATTTCTTACGAATTAGGAACTCAAATTACCGATATTAACAAGCTAGAATATAAAGTAAGAACCTCCTATCTTTTCTATTTGCCTTTTATACCTATCACCACACTGCTCCTTCTAAGCGTGTACCTAGTTCCTAAAACTCATTTCCTTTCCTGCTATCAATCTTGAGTAAACCTCTAGCATAAGAAAAGAAAGCTTGTCAATCAATAATAAATATTTTTATTGTGAATTATAGTCCAAAGTCGTTCCTTTTAAGCTTTATACATCTGCTATAGTTTCGAAACGACATTTGGAACCTGTTGAAAATCTGTACTTGTGGTAACTTGAATCAGGTTACAATTGTGGTATGCAGGCATAACAAGCGTGTGCTACCCCTTTACCTTAAAACAGAAATTTTCAGAATTTTCATTTATTTATATTTAAGCAGTTTTCATATAGAATTTAGGTCGAAAAATCGTTAAATTCCATTCACTCTAGCTACCTTTTGTTCCGAGTCATTCAGTTAAGGTATCATCTTTGTCTTTCTGTGGGAAGTTTACTGCAAATTGTACATACTTTGTGAGAAAAGTAGACAGTAATCTTTTATACTGGTAAGTCAGGTGATGTATCGGGGTTATACCCTCCCTTACATTCCAATGTGAATGACCAACAGTCACGTGGGTAGCACACACGCCCTGGCTCGCCTGTGAGAACTTTTAAAGGATGTTACGACTCGCTAAGACATTCCTTCTAACAGGAGTAGAGTATGATGTAGACATTATTTTTTTGATAATCTGTTTGTATCTTTTGTCTAACATTAGAGGCCATGTTTCTTAAGATTTTGGTGGACTTAACTGTTACCTTTGTATTAAAAGTTCGCATGATACGATCTAATTTAACACCAAATTCAGGGATATGGGCAAGGACAGTTCTATATATTTGTATCACGGTTTTGGTTCCTATTGGAAGTTGACAAAATTGCGCATAAGAAATTTTTTTGTAAAATAATTTTTGTTGAGTAGTTAATAATTATTAGCTAGAAATACGCGTTCAAGTTTTATTGTCATATTCTCTGTGTGTGAGAAACTGAGTATATTTCTTACATAGCTAGAAATACACATTCAACTTCAAGTTGTTTTGTTGTCATATTCTAGGCGTGAGAAACTGAATGTATTTCTTATTCCTGTTTTTACTGACTATCTATTAAAAACGTATACAATTATTATGTTCTTTATTTATAGATATAAATATTTGGACCTAGTTCTTACTATATGTCATAGCGATTTAGCTTTATGTGTTTGTATTTTTAAAAACAAAATATGTAATCTATTTTTTTTTTCAGCCACCTGAAGCACACTTGGCTTACGATGACAGTACCACGGGGCTAAGGAGAACAGATTTTTTTTTGTACATTAGGAAGTTCATATACGAAGACGGAAGTTTAGTTGCTTGTATGTGTGGTGCTACTAGTCAGTTGTTCCACATAGTCTTAGGGGCATTATTAATTGCAACATAGTTTTTGTTATCTCATCCTGTTAAACAAACAGTCAGAAACGTCAGAGAATTTCCTGAAGAGAATGACAAGAGCACAGTTGCTAAGTATTAGTAGGTAAGTAATTGTTAATATAATATTACAATAATAAATATTAATAGTAATACATTACATAATAATACTGTGAATGGCGTAACCGCATGACTGCTTGAGAATAAACTACTTCAAATACTTGTATTTTGTAAGTTGTAACATAACCATTACAACTTGGTACTACTAGTAGTACTACTTCAAATTTCAATACTTGTACTACGATTATTGCGAGTGTTAAGATTTGACCTGAGTATCACATTTTTGGGTAGTCTAGCAATTTCTTCAATTAGATTTCGACCCTAACTCTCAGTAGCCTACTTCAAAGTAAAAGGTAATACTAGTAATAGTAATACTAATAGCACCATTGGTGGTTTTAACTTAGAGACATCAGAGCTGAAATGTCCAGTGTATATGTATAAAAATGACCAATGTATAATAAAATTAATATATAAGATTGAGTGTGAATCTGTTTCTTCACCATAACATTAACAAAATATAAATCTGACACTGACAGTAATAGACTAATAGTAATAGTCAATGATAAGTTTTCTCTTTGAATTATTTCTGTACTTTTAATCATTAAGTTAAACATATATTTTGAATTCATAATACAAATCTCTTAACTTTCCTAAGTAAAATTATATATATATATATATATATATATATATATTTG